CCCACGGCTCGGTGGCTGGCCAGCCAGCAAGACAAGGGATGCTGTCCCTTGAGCACCCGGAGCACCGAGAACCCCCTATTTGAGGAATGTGGCATGCAGGCAAGGGCTGCGGGAGTAGGGAGGGGAGCAGCAGGGACATAGCAGTCACCGCAGTGGAGGAAGCACCGTGCCGCAAGCACCAGGTGGTGAAGAGCATCCCCCACTGCAGGCAGCCCACAGGGCTCTGTCGGGAGCCCCGGCCCCACTGCAGGCAGCTGCCTCCTGGGCAGGAGGTGAAGCCGCTGTAACCCCCCAACACAATCCCGACGGGACCATCCCCAACACCTGCCTGGTGCCAAGCAGCAGACAGCGAGCCAGAGCCCGTGCCAGCCCACGGGCAGAGTCCTGTACTCACACCCAGCACAGCAGGCTGCGAAATGCTGATGGACCCCCCTGCAATGCCCAGCAAGACCTAGCCACGCACATACCTGTGGAGACCAGCACAGCCCCTTCAGTCCTATGATGCTGCCAGCTCCCCTGCCATCTCCATCCCACCATGCACCTCACAGAGGCGGACCCAGCCGGGTGCAGCCACCACCACCTCCCATCCACCAGCCCCAGGGCAGCACGTAGCATGGGGACAACCCCGTAGGAATACCTCCATGCTGGGAGGAGAGAGGAGAAACCCCCGGGGATGCCTCAGCAGCTGCATCCATCCACCCCAGGGCGACTCAGGGTGTATCGAACAAGGCTAAACCCTGCCAAGGAGAAGTCTCCTCCACCCACCACCTCCTCTCTGCCACATGGCAGCAAGGGGACACGAGTAGGGCCACGCTCAGGTGTGCCACCTGCAAAGACCTTTTAATTCCCCGTTTGGTAAGACATGAAGGTGCTGGGAAACCCCTGCCCAGGGGAGAGAGACAGCACCAGCACCCAATGGCAGCAAGGGGAGAGCCCAGAGGTGAAGATCTTATGAGCAGGGCTGGGGCAGCAGGTCTAGGACCCAGGCTGGGGTTACTGCTGCTTTTGGGGCACATGGGGGGCACGAGCATCTCCTGCCCATCCTCCCTGCCCTGATGGAAAACTCCGTCCCTCCCACCAGCCATACCAAGGCACAAGCCCAGAGATTTG